ATGACTTTAACTTTTCTATCGTCAACTTCCCTTCTATGCAGCAATATACCTTCATCACCTGCATACGGAGTATTTATATCTCAGTTGATTCGATACGCAAGAGCATGCTCTACGTATGAACAATTTCTTAAACAAGGTAAATTATTGACAAGCAAGTTGATGAAACAAGAATATCAACAGTCTCGTTTAAAGTCATCATTTCGTAAATTCTATGGTCGATACAATGACCTTGTCAGCAAATACAATTTATCATTGAATGAAATGCTGACTGACGTTTTTCAAACCAATTGTTAGTCCATTATTTATACACTGAATTGACTACGGATTTTTTCCGTTATTTCCTGATTATGACAATGAGCACACAGCAGGTGTGACCGGTCAGCAGGGGATGCTCACTCCTCCATGGCACCTGATCCCACCTCTGATGTTTCGGAGGTCCGTGTTTGCTCTGCTCTTGTTTTGTATATTTGTTTAATGGACGTTGAGATTGAATACTGTTCGTTATTTCCATATCCTTATTGTTAGATATTTGCTAATTGTGTTGAAGAAAAGAAAGTGACAGTTGCTGATGTTCAATATATTTATAAAAATGTGTACATTGTGCCATTAACAAATTAGCAGTTGAAATTTGACAAATTGACCAATCAGTCACTAGAATGTAGGTATTTATTGTATAATGGATACGTATGAGGGTGCATGTGTTAGCGTGTTCATCCCCAGGATGTGTGTGTTAGTGTGTTTATGACTAATCTGACATTTCATTGCTCATTGATTGTCATTTCTATTTATGATTTTACAATAAACTGAATGTATATGAATAAACTGAAGGCAGGGATACAATGGGTGAAAAAGGGGGAATGAAATATAACCAAATGAAATCTCCAGAGAAGCTTTGATGGCCAAAAGCAAGAGAAATAGGATAATCAGGGACCAACAACATGATTAATCTAGTACTGGAAAAGAAAACTTTAAGTAGATCTGTTACTTGTCTGTACTTGACCCCACTTGTCTCTTTCACCATTCTTTCTGAACAAAACAATGGAACTTAAGCTTTATTAGAAAACCAGTCTCATACTGTCCTCTCTTTTTCTTTGAAGAAAATTCAATGTTCAGTTCACAAATAAACAAAATGTTAAAAAGTTTTCTGGAAAATAAACTTTTAGTTGGTCACGTGATCAAATCCTGTGAAGCCCAAGTTCATTTCCGAGAGAACTTTTTAACATTGTTGTTTATCACTTATATTTACATTTGAGGCGTATCTTCGTTATTATTGCGTTTTTTGCCCGCCATACATGTTTAACATTGATGTTTTGGTTTATAAAATCAGGATTAATGACTGTAGATAGGACAGAGCTAGCAATTCTCTTCTATGAACTGACATGTATTAGTTGTTAGACTTTAAGGACGCTTCACATCTTTGTCCAATCATGAACATTATATGGCGGGATTCAAATCCGGCGTCATTCATGGTACTGATTGCTGTTGCACATAAACAATGTAACGTGTAGGTGGTTTGACATTTGCAGACTTGCAGATGTCCCTCATGAATCCACGGAAGGACTGGTTATAAGTGCGTTTGCTTTTTGATATCAGTGACAGTTGCTATTTCAAATAAGAATGAAACTCGAAAATTTACTTATACCTGGTCATCAGCAAAATTATTTTGTTAAACACATTCTGATTGCGCACTGAAGTACTTTGAAGTAAACATCAAAGAGATTCTTAAGCTTCTACTGGAATTCACATGGGTACCAATTGCGCTCCGTTATAAGCGGACCTATTTTTGTATTCATATGAAGCAGAATTTGCACAAAATCTTATGCGTAAAAAGAAGAAAACATTTGCTATGACCTTCAATTCGACATTTAGATATATCGACGACGTATTGTCAATTATCAATGGGACCTCCCATTCCTACGTCGATACGATAAACCGTAAAAGGAGAAAATTTGGCGCAAACGTATTTGAGCGCATACACAAGTGGGAATGCATCGGCACAAGTAAATTTTAGCGCTTGCACTTGTCATTGAAATATAAAAATATATTAATGTGATAATTTGTTTGTTTTTGTCTATACCTTGAAAGCTGTGAAAGCTTTGAACACACACAAACAAGAGGCCCAAAGGTCTTGATTCGTTCTTCTGATAAACTATACAATCTTTCCTAAGATCAAAGATGCATCAACTGACAAATTGTCAGTGATTCTTAGTCAGTTAGGACTGAAGATATTTAAATGTAACTATAAAATACTATAAGTAGGTCATAGTGACCTACTTTTTGATTGATTTTTTTTAAGGACAAGAGATTCATTATTTATTTGTGTTTGCTCTGCTCTTATTTTGTATATTGTTAAATGGACGTTGAGATTGAATACTGTTCGTTATTTCCATATCCTTCTCTTGACAAAGATTGATGATTCTAATTAAGAAGTACTTGAGATATTCAAAGGTGGGTCACATTGACCTATTTATTAGTCAATATTCTCCGAAAACCAAAGATGCAGAACTAAGTTTGACAATTCTAAGCCAACGAGTACTCTAAAACTCTTAAATATAGCCATAAATGTCACAAGTAGGTAACTATGACCTATATTTCGATCACCATTCTCCGAAAACCCAAGATGCTTCAATCGATAAAGTTTAATGATTATAAACCAATAAGTACCAGAGATGCCTCAATATAGCCATAAAATGTCAAAAATATGTCACCGTGATCTACTTTTTGGTCAACATTCACGGACACCCAAAATGCATCTACTAACAAAGTTTGATGATTCTAAGCCAATTGTAGCAGTGTGTTTTTAATTGTATATACTATATATCATACAATATTGAATAAATAATAGTATTAATGAAGTAAATGAAATTAAATTAGGTTTTATAGTTTATAAAAAAAAAACCTAGATCCACCCCTTTACTTGTGAGCGATAAAGTTCAAGGTTATTCTTTTGGGGTTCTGTCTTTTTATTGGTTGTGGTTCTGAGTAGTCTCAGAGTGAATACTCAGAGGTTTGGGCCAGGTTGGCAGTGTTAGAATTTGCAGAGTTTTTAGGCAAAGAGTTTTAAGACTTCCATGACTTGAGACCTTTAGACCAGACCTGGAAGTAAGTATTTACTTTATTAACATTCTATATCTTTGTAATACCTTTATTTAGCTAATATCACTGTTTGTAAGAAGAGTGAAGGTTTAAATAATGAAATAGGCCTAAAGATTAATCTTCAGTTTATCATCACAGAGAATATATTTATTTGAATCATGAGTATTGTATTATATATAGTACAGTCTATAGTATTTCTTATTAGATATGTAAGCTGAAGCATCCAGTAGTATATTTTAGTGTGTTATGGAATGGGCCTTGTCCCATAGATAGGTAATTAGCATATGATACCTTTTGTATATTTTAAAGTAATAATATCATATCATTGCATTAATTGAGATGCGATTGTAAAATATATGTGTAGAAATTAACTGTACATTGATTTATTTGTATGCTAAATATTTAGATTAAGAGAGATAACTCTTAACTGATAAATCCATTTTTTGTACATCAAAATAAGTAAAATAGAATACATTTATACATTTGTTATTATTTCATGTGATATTTATTGTTATTGTTTTATTTTAAAGGGCCACTCATTTACTTGATGAACATCAGTATTAAACATATATGAACCCTTAGACAGGAGTTTGGTTGTTCCAACATCCAATATATTAACCACCCCTGCAACATTGGCGCCCATGTAGGGACTGGATGCCTCAACCAGAACCAGGACGACTGCATAGTAAACGCACCGTGAGTGATTCGCTGGAGAGTGACTTTCTGCAAGATGTGAATTCGAACTTGTGTGCGCACCGTCCTGTGAATTCGAGCCTGGCCAGTAGAGGTATTGTGTACGTACGGATAGAAACTGTTTTCAGGGTACGTGTAATTTTTACAGTCGTGTGAGAAAGTCCTGAGCACATCATTCAGTTTCTCCAATTCTCTTTCTAGCTTTATTTCTTTGTACTTATCACTGGATGAAAAATACAGTTTCCGCATGGCTGAAACCCTACTGAAACTCTGCGGAAACTTAAGGTTACTAATAGTTTCTGCAAAGTTTCAGTGCGGAAACTTCAAGTTTCATCAAGTTTCCGCAGTGCGGAAACCAAAGGTGTCCACGAATCCAAATAGTTTCCGCAACTGAAACTTGCTGAAACTTGAGGTATACGCAAGGTTTCAGCATGCGTATACTGTTGAAATACATATGGTGTACCATAGGTTTCCGCAACTGAAACTTGCTGAAACTTAAGGTATACGCAAGGTTTCAGTATGCGTATACGGTTAAATACATATGGTTTACCAATGGTTTCCGCAACAGAAACTTGCTGAAACTTGAGGTATACGCAAGGTTTTAGCATGCGTATACGGTTGAAATACATATGGTTTACCAATGGTTTCCGCAACAGAAACTTGCTGAAACTTGAGGTATAGGCAAGTATGCATTTACAATATTGATAAATATAGGGTATACTATAGGTTTCCGCAACGGAAACTGTAGTATTGACTACACAATTTAGCCCTGGTTTTCAACCAAAAGTCATTTTCCCCCTGATTTCTCATATTGGAATAAACAACAACACACTAACACTAGTTATCAAAGAATATTTAATGTTATTACCAACATTTACATACATCGGGTTGAACATTTTTCTCTTGCATCATAAACATTTTTACAGCTAAGTCCGAGCCCTCAAGTCACGACAGGAGGACAGAGAAAATGTCTTCATTTAATGATGTCTCATATATCAGAGATATAATCTTGCGAGAGGAACTTAGAACTGCATTCCTGCAATCAATCAACTAAACCTGAATTCGGTTTATGCAAGTCTAGTATTATCAAGGGAATGTAAAATTGCTTGGTATAAGAAATGCACAATTTCACATCATAAGTAGCCAATAAGCACCAAGGTGGATTCCTTTGTTAAAAATTCAGTTTGTAGTCCATCATCAACAAACAGAAAAGTCCCTGAGTGGTTCTAATTTTTTGAGGACCCACTAACACTTATCATGCTTATGCTAGTGGCTGCGTGTTTTCGGAACTGTGCAACATATCACTGTAGTCTGCATGTATGTCCTGTTCCAGTTTCAGTTGACTTTAAAAATATCAATGCTTGAGTATAGAGAGATTTGTTTTCATCATTGGAGAAATGATATCATGTTCAAGTTGGATTGATCTGCTCATCAGTTACTTCAACCTATTGAAAATATATATAAATATAGTTTAACAAAATCCCAATCTAAATAAAACAACATGTTAGATCCTCTCGCATACTCGCTACACAACATCTAACAACATCCCATAGAAGGTCAAGTCAGATGTCAAATACGGAACAACTCTAGACTTATTCGTTCCAATATATGAAATACAATAATTTTGCAGTTGACTATTTGATTGATTATAAATAGAATTTGACCTCTGACGTGACACTCTACAGGATGTTGTTAGATTAAGCCAGTATCTAACATTTAATATTAATTTGATGGACATAGTCCCTAATGCTGTTCTAGTACAAGTTTTTGTTTGATTAGTTTCACATTTTAAGCATTTTTTTTTATCAGAATGATTTAAAATGAAATCTAAAAAATTATCAAGTGTAAAATATCATTAGTTTATTAAAGATGCCTCTTTTAAACACTTGATTAGTGGTAGTGAAATAAACAAACATGAATTTATTTAAATGTACCTGAATATATATATGCATAGATTTGTTTCTGATTTTCAGAATAAATTAAGGAATTTTCTTTCATTCTACTTGTTCATCAAAATATTTTTTTATTTGAATAACAACTAGAGGCCCATAGACCTAATAGGTATCATGTAACAACTTTCACTCAACTGAATTTGGTTTGTGTTTTAAACAAAAAGCCATGAAGTTCCAAATTTTGCAAGATGCACCATTGTTTTTCATAATTATACACTTAACATGCTTTCTTTGGTTACTCAATACCCAAAGGTAGATCAGTTTGATAAATATAAAATGCAATTCCATTTTAAAACCACCAGTTGTGTACCCCACCCCACAGGAACCACTAACCCTGGGTCCACACATTTCAAAATTTTCTAAATGTAATCTTAAGTTTTTTTTCATCATAAATGGTTGATTTATTCCAAAGAGCTATATGGATCAACCCTAGTACTAGAACCCCTGACCTTGGGGCCATGAATTTCATAATTATGGTAGATGACTCAGTGCTCATTGCAATCATGCCAACAGTTTGACTGCTTGATGTTCAGGAGTAAAAAAGATTGGGGGGTATCATAATATTTACAATTTTGTTCCCCTTCATTGTAGATGCTTTGTACCATAATTGGTTGAAATTGGTTGAGCAGTTGCAAGGAAGAAGCTGAAAATGTTCAAATGTCAACAAATGACAGACAAAAACAGATAGTAATAGGTCACCTGAGTTTACTAAGGCGACCTATAAATAGGCCTGTTTATAAATACTTATAAATACTTATTTTAAATAAATCAGAGAATTTTAGTAGGTAGCTTGCAAAATGACACTTTCTAAGAAAATGTTAACATCTGTTAATTTGATGGAAATGCTGAACATATCAAGATATTATATAAAGCTTAAAAAGTAGAGGAAAGCAGCTTACACCCCACCCCCACCCCCCCTCACCCACTGACAACCACTGACTATGATAAATAGAGAGCTTTAAATTATACAATGAGATTAAGAAAACAATAGAAAATAAAAACATAAACTTGGTGCTTTAGTCCTTAATTTCCTAAAATAGAGTTACATAAGTTCTAACAACTAAAACATACTTTTTAACAGAAGTATTCTTCCTCCTTATTTAGTTTTCAGATGATTTGTTCAATGGATATCTGAAATTAAAATAGATCGAGTTAGTACAGTACATAACAGTTATAACTTTTTTTGTTTTTAGCATGAGCTCAGAAAGGTCCCAAAACCACTTGCATGCCCATTCCCCTGCACCTGACAGGCAGTGAAAATTCTAATGGAAACATGACAAAGAAGAAAAAATGATTAGAAATTGTATCATTTTAAAATGGACACAGTCACACTCTGGTCTAATTCTAATTAGCGGTCCTATCAGGCTATCACAACCTCAATTTACAAGATTTTGAAATGCAATTATATCTGAGAGTGAGAAAAATTAAATAAGATATAATTTTCCATAAAAGCAAGACTACATCTAAATTATGTTTAAAAAATGTAGGCCTTCTCCGATTCAAAATGATAATTCATTTGATAATTTATTTTATTTAATATTCTATTTTACATCAAGGGAAGATCATTTGTATAATAACACAGAACTAGGAGTCTTCAGTGGCCATTGTTGAAAACTGATTTAATTAGTGATAGAAATATGGCAAATGGTAAACAGCTATAAACAGAGATATTACAAAAATCTTATTTGTGTATCAGTCATTTTATCAAGTCAATAAAATTTAGAGATCATAAAAGTATTATGTTAAATTTTCATAATGGGTCACATTGCCATTGGTTAGAGCGACATGTCTAGAGTTGGGGAGTAAGAGCTGATTCCTACATCACGGGTCTGAATCCAATATAGTACATATAGACTGGTCCCTCGGATGAGACTGTGTTGGTGATGTGTCCACATTAATAAAAAGTTCTCTAACGGGTAACAAATAAATACAAGTATATGACTGTATAAAGAATCAATACATGTAACTTAAGAATTTGAAAATGGCCAATTGCCCATTTCATCAAGCTCCAGTCTATCATAATACACACTTCAGGTAAATACTGTTCTGTTCATATCAAGAGAATAATTTTTTATGGTTGTGATTTCTGATGTATTTAGAAACTGCACCACATTTAATACACAAGGTACAATAAAAATATGGTATTTCTAATGAACAATAACACCATGCACACTACCGGTAAATCAAGTTTTAGGTTGCTAAAATAGTGTTAATTGTTTCATATAGATCAAAACATGCATATGTGTCAGCATGAAATTACAATTGATCTATTAATTTAAAATAAATATCATTTTAACATTTCACGTTTAATTAATGATAATTATGTCTTGTAAGAAAAGATGTTTATGTATCTTCGTGTATAACTATTTTGTTCACGTACGACAATGTTTCAAAATCGTAATGTATGGTATGAAACTTAATAAAATACTTCAACCTGAATAATGTGAGGCATTCTGAAAATTATCAAGTCCCTTTCATATCCCAAAATCTGCAAGTTCTCAGGAATTTTACTTTCATGACTATACAACATGTACAAATTGGCATTTCACAGTGATACAATACTACACAATGACATTCTACCAACATGATGCCCTCTAACATGTCTAATATTTATGATTCTAGACTGCATGTATGTTAAAAATATATTCAACCCCTTCCTCGGCTGTGCAACACAGTCTTCCATCAATAATAAAAACAATTCAGCAAAAAATAAATGTAGGATTCAAGAAACTACTCCTGCGAATAACAATGAATACATCCAGCAGTTATAATGAACAACAAAGCTCACCTTTTCTGAAAGAACATAAGCGTGGGGGCAAATCTTTCGATTTTCCGAAAAAGTAAACACCGGATACAAGTTCATAACGATATTATCCTCTAAAACCAACCTACATTTAAAATTCCGGAATACTACAACACGTATTTTTTTTTAACATGATTGGGACGATGCAGAAAAACAAATTCTAATAAATAATCATACGAAAAACATGCAAGATAAATACAATGGTACATAATGCATACGGCCGTTTTAACAGCACTTAATTATACGTATTACAACCTAAGCTGAGAATGATTTACAAGGCGCTTTTTCAAAATAATTATAACTGAACATTGGTCGATTTGAATTTTTGGAACGTGCCGTTTTGACCCGACTTTATTCTTACGATTGCAGACAATTAAAAAAAAATAAAGGTGCTCTGAACTTTAAGAAATAACTACCTGTATCTAATCTGTCGTTTGAGGTGCCTTTCTTCTGTGTGGAGTCAAAAGATCTTCTCACTGCTGTTGTTTTTCTTGAGCAAGTTTTTGGTGTTTTCTTCGCCATTTTGTCCCTCTTTCTTCTACTAAAAATCTAACCAGTGAGAGAGAAGAATTCTATCGCGATACGCCACCTAGTGATTGAATGTCAGTCTCTACGGAAAATTCAACTTAGTTTTTGAATTTCTCTTTTTGCAATATTTTTTTTTTTACGTTTTGATTGCAGACGTCCTTGCATTTATGACAACAGAATGAACCTGTCAGTTTTAATGCTTAAATAAAATTGATCATGGAATCGAATTTTGGTATAAAACCGTATTTCAAGTCCCTTATTATCATGATTATGGTAATTGTTGAAACGGACTGTCCAGATTTTTACAAATAGATTGAAAATCATATACACATGTATATACTTAGCCTATTGTGTAAAAAAAAATGTATACAAGTCAACAAAGTTATGCTGATGGCATATTATCCACAAACAAGAGCGATTTACCCCCCCCCCCTTTTTCTAGTAAGCGATACGAATTAGCTGGTTAAAACTTTACCACAAGTCTGCAAATTTATGTTTATATGTTTTTTTTAATCTTAATCTACGGGATACATTTCTATTTGTATCCTAAAATAAAATAGATAAATTAACAAAGTACGTGTGAGTTTATAATCATTGTAACAGTTATATAGTGACTTATATAATGATTAATTTTGACCTTCGTAACATAATAAATAAAACGAAGAAAAAAAATTACAAACTATATTAGAATGTGTTGTATGAGTCTCTCTCTCTCTCTCTCTCTCTCTCTCTCTCTCTCTCTCTCTCTCTCTCTCTCTCTCTCTCTCTCTCTCTCTCTGGTATTGCTTTTTATACTTTTGTGAAACTCAAAAGCAAAATTTGGGTTATAAGAATTATTAATCAATTGTTAAAAATTTCCATCTCAGAAAATATCTACATGTACAATTTTAAAATAGTAAATAGCGCTGCTTCTCAGCATTAGATTTAATTTAAACAATATTTTATTCACAGATGTTATTGTGAATAGGATTGGGCAGCAGGCACAGCCTATTTTAGCCCTCTCCCTACATTTAGGTCAAGGTACAAAACATTAGATGATGAACAAAAAAATTTATTGGTTATTACTCAATACATGCAGAAGATACGGAAACTCTTAATTTTACAGGCAATTTTATAAATGATATCATGTAATAGTAGTCATAGTCCTTTAGACCTTTACACATGTCATGTATATTGTTGCTTACTAAATGTATTTATCTTCTTTTTTTTTTTATCTTTTCCTTATTATTGTAATAACCTCACACTTTTCTGTTTTGGACTCTAAATTAGAAATAAAGCGTTGTTTTATTGTGTACTTAGAAGTGACCTTGAGAAAAAAGGTAAGAAATAAAATTCATAGACTGTGTTTTCATTAGGTTGCGTGTCATCGATCTCTAAATATTTTCAATATTTGAAGTTAACAATGATGGCAAACAAGGAATACCATTAATTGTCGATTTTTTTTGTGATTGCCGATTTTTTTGTAAAGAAATTGTAAAATAATATTGAATTTGTTTTAAATAGTCATTGAACTAGAAAATATTCTCCTTACCTGTAGATTATTTTTATTATTTATTAGATTTATCTATAGATAAATATCTGAGAGGTTTTTCCTTTTTTTCTTTTAATGACCAACACATAACAAACTAAATAGCTGATATGAAACATTTTATATAAAATATTTTATAAAACAATCTTATTTGTTTGATTTAGGTGAAGTTATATTATATAGTGTGTGTGGGATTTATTTTAAAATTTTTAAAATTTGAATGTTCAGACACCTTGGGGTCATTACTAGTGACTATACTGTGTATACCATGTACTGTATGTATACAATACGCCTGGTCACAGCCCATTGTTCCTCTAAGGTAGAAAAACCTCTCAATCCACATAGAATATACAAAAAATACACCAACACGGTAGCAGGTGTCTTCGCGACACGTGTCTCCCCACCTGTGGCACGTGAGGACAGGTGCCCGCGAGTGGGGTTCAAAGAAAAGGATTGAAAATTTGATCAACTTACATATTACTTTTATTTTTTTTTTTAAAGTGTGTTCTGAATCACAAATATATAGCACATTATACATCTCAATACGAATATAATTGAACATATTACTAAAAAGTATAGGTACCGCGTTTTCAGTAATATTTCATTAATCACGAAAGCAAGATATTTGAAAAATAAATAAATAAATAAAATGCCTATACATAACTTGCAATCTAATTAAAACGAGATTTTCCATTTGTTCCCAGGGTATTGTTTCACAAAAACAGACTTTTACATTAATAAGTCTTCCTCGTGCGAATAAGCATTTGGGTAACAAATGAGACGATTTAATTTTAATTAGATTGACATAATATGCTGCAGATCTTAAGAATCATGGCATCAAATGTTCAGGCTAGGACATGTTTTCTTGCAATATTTACCCGCGGCTTTCGAATAAGATTAACGCCTATTAAACGAATAAAATGTATTCATGAGAACGGAGATAAAAATACATATATGTAGATATTAAATCAATGTAATTATAAAAAACAACTAGTAACTATTGCACTATATATCTATGTTGAACACTGAATAGTGAAAAGGCTTCCTAGTCAGTATGTGTTGTTAACAAATTGAATTATGGAAATGATAATTTTCCATTCAGGAATATAGATACATGTATAAGAAATTTAAATGCAAAACTTGCTATCTCAGATAATGTAAACATTCGCTCTCGTAATTATCTATATTTCATACACCATGAAGACACACTAATTTTCTTTTTTGAACAAATTAACATTAAATGTAATTGTAGACAGAGGAACCTCCATATATAACCCTTGATTTGTTCTCATACGGAAGTAATATTTTGTGAAAATAATGTATGTTATGAAAAAAATTAATTCCCGAGGGGGAGTCTCGAGTTGGGTAATGTAGAAAATCCTGGTGAGAGGAATCGATTTTGTTTAAAAATGATATTTTTTCAGCACAATATGAAATAAATTAATATGAAGCAAGGATCTTGTATAAAGTGCTTATCATTGATATCAATATCGGTATGTGTAAGTTTACACAGAGCACATCTCAAAATCTGAATATGAAGTAGAAGTTACCTTGTATTTAAAAATAAAACAATTTTTTAAAATGTATAAATAAATAAAAATATGATATGAGTTGATTTTTCTACCCTTTTGAAAAAAAAAATATAATAAAAAACAGTTTCAATTCGGTTTCAGCATGCGAAAACCATACAGAATCAAAATCAATAGTAAAGATTATAATGAGTTGATTTTTCTACCCTTTTGAAAAAAAAAATAGAAAAAGTTTCAGTTCGGTTTCAGCATGCGGAAACCATATGGAATCGAACTCAATAGCAAAAAAAATCATTTGAATTGATTTTTTACCCATTTGAAAAAAAAGAAAAGAAAAAGTTTCAGCTGGTTTCAGCATGCGGAAACCATATGGAATCGAAATCAATAGTTTCCGGAAATTGAAACCTACTGAAACTAAAAAGTATCGTTAAATTGACATTTCATTAAATTTAACATTAGTTTCCGTTTTGCGGAAACTATTTGGAAACAAACCTAATAGTTTCAGCATACGGAAACCCTACAGAAACTTGCTGAAACTATTATATAGTTTCCGCATTGCGGAAACCATACAGGAAACTTCAACGCCAAGTTTCAGCAAGGTTTCCATATAGTTTCAGTTTTGCGGAAACTGGACTTTTCACCCAGTGTATATGTAACAAAACAGTTTACTGACCTTTATTGACAGTAACATTTGACAGGTGTATATAGTTTGTTTTACAAGTTTATTCAAAGTTTATGACAAAGTTTTCTAATCATAGGTCTTAAATTGTCCAAAATATGCCTCCAAATCAATTTGAAAACAAAAGCCCGTAAAATTTAGAAAGTTGCTCACCGTGACCTACCGTGATGTGAAGTCCTGAGATGCATCAACTTACAAGATTGGATGGTCCTAGTCTTTATAGTAAGCAAAATATCAAGTTTTTTTAATAAATTTTGGTCAACTTTGAAGTAACCTTGTGACCAAGCCCTTTGCCCCAGGGTCATGCCTTGAACAAATTTTAATTTTCAACATATCGCGACCCTTGTATGTAAGTTTGGTGAAAATCTGACAGGTGGTTCTGGAGAAGAAGATTTTTTAGCATCCAGTACTTTTGATTTTATTTTCCTGATTATCACCCCTTGTTTTAAGGTCCTTCTTTTAGTTTAAGAATAAATGGTAGCCCTTGGGCCAAGGATACACTGTGACAAATTTGACAACGTTTGGCCAGGAGGTTCTTGAGTTATGGCCCATATTCTAAAATATTAACGCACACCGCACGACGCACATCGCACAAATGGCCATAGCACTAGCTCTTTGAGCCTTTGGCTCAGAAGAGCTACGCAGTTATGATAAGGCTGTCCGAAGGCTTAAAATGTCTTAAAACATACGTTTTATTTCGAGCTAGATTTTAATTTCAATCTGTTATCCTTACTTTAAATTGCAGTCAACTTGAGATAACAGTTTAATCAGGTATTATAATAAAGCATTTCTGTGATGCCAGATGACTGTGTTGATCACGTGACGGACATTTTTGATATTCTTTTGATATTCTTAAATGTTGCACAAAAATCGCATCGGCACAAGCGCATAACACAATTATTGTGCACAGTTTGTTATATAGATCAATTCATCGTGATCCATGGTACTTAAAAAGTGCTGGGGGCAGGTTTAATTTGTTCTTCTTAAGAAAATATTTTACAATAAATTAAAATTACCAACGTAAGAAGGGTATTTTCCACTCATTTTCGCGATTTATACAAAAGCGGATAAAATACATACGATCCCCCAGCAATGTTCAGTTAGAAGACATATTTCTCTTTTAAATTCACGCAAAATATCTTCAATTTATCCTTGTCTTTCACTTGTGCCAGTCCAATATAAACACGATTTAAAAATTCTTACTCTGTCTACGGAAGTTTAAGGGGAGCGTTTCATATTTTTTGGTTATTGCTTGAATATACGCATATCGGACAAGCAAAAGGAATAGAGATATTTAAACATCAAATGTTAAACATAATAACAGCACACACAAGCTTAAAAAACAAGCCTTACTCTTGAATTAAACACAAATCCCCATAATAAATCTACATGCCGTGTAATAATTATGACACTTTCCCCGTCATGTCAGCTCAACTATGCAGTGACTTGACGTCATATTCTATTATGACGTCATATCTAGGTAGTTCAGAGAAGTTACTACAGTTTGAACAGTTTGATATTTTACGGGCAGCCTTATCCTAGCTGCGTAAATATAATATTAAGAAATCCGTTAGCGCACAATAAATTTAAGTGTTCAAGTGTTCAAGGGCTCTTACGCCAAAAGCGCTAAAATTAGTAGTACGCCAAATATTCTCATTTTTCGGCTTCCTGTTGAGCTTATGATAAAAGATACCACAGAGTCTGACGCATCTGTTACAGACTTGGATATTTTACTTGAAAAAGACATTGATGGTAAACACATGTAACAACCCAGTTATATGATAAACCTGATGACTTTTCTATCGTCAACTTCCCTAACTTATTCAGCAATATACTTTCATCAACTGCATATGGGGTGTATTTATCTCAGTTGATTCGATACGCAAAAGCTTGTTCTACGTATGAACTATTTCTAAAACGAGATAAATTATTGACAATCAAGTTGATGAAACAATTTCGAAAGTTCTAAAGTCGACACAATGACTTTGTCAGCAAATACAATTTATCATTGAGTCAAATGCTGACTGACGTTTTTAGCTCACCTGAGCCAAAGGCTCAAGTGAGCTTTTCTGATCACAATTTGTCCGTTGTCTGTCGTCGTTGTCGTCGTCTTCGTAGTCGTCGTTGTCGTCGGCGTCGTTGTTGTAAACTTTTCACATTTTCATCTTCTTCTGAAGAACCACTGGGCCAATTTCAACCAAACTTGCCACAAAGTATCCTTAGGTGAAGGGGATTCAGATTTGTTCAAATGAAGGGTCATGCCCTCTTTCAAGGGGAGATAATTAGCAATTAGTGAAAAATTAACGGTGTATTTTTAAAATCTTCTTCTCAAGAACAACTGTGCCAGGAAAGATGAAACTTATGGGGAAACATCCTTAGGTAGTGTAGATTCAAGTTTGTTCAAATCTTGACCCCCAGGGGTAGGGCGGGGCCAAAATGGCCGACCAAAGTTTTACATAGATATATATAGGAAAATTCTTTAAAAATCTTCTCCTCAAGAATAGCAAAGCCATAATCGATCATATTTATATGGAAGCATCCTCAGGTAGTGTATATTCAGATTTATTCAAATCATGACCCCCAGGCGTAGGGCAGAGCCAAAATGGCCGACCAAAGTTTTACATAGAAATATATAGGAAAATTCTTTAGAAATCTTTTTATCAAGAATAGCAAAGTCATAATTGATCATATTTATATGGAAGCATCCTCATGTAGTGTAGATTCAAGTTTGTTCAAATCATGACCCCCAGGGGAAGGGCGGGGCCAAAATAACCGACCAAATATTACATAGAAATGTATAGGAAAATTCTTTAAAAATCTTCTCAAGAATAGCAAAGCCATAATTGATCATATTTATATGGAAGCATCCTCAGGTAGTGTAGATTCAAGTTTGTTCAAATCATGACCCCCATGGGTAGGGCGGAGCCAAAATGGCCGACTAAAGTTTTACATAGAAATGTATAGGAAAATTCTTTTAAATTCTTCTTCTCAAGAATAGCAAAGCCATGATTGGTCATGGAACTACTTTTGGATTTAAGCTTTTCCAGTATAAACCAATTCCGCTTTTTCCTAGCCACAGTGCTCAGGTGAGCGATGTGGCCCATGGGCCTCTTGTTCAAACTTATTCTTAGTCAATTATTTCTACAATGAATTGACGACGGATTTTCCCTTTATTTCCCGATCATGACAAGAAGCACACGGCGGATGTGACCGGTTAGCAGGAGATGCTTAATCTTTCATGACACCTGATCCCACCTCTGATGTTTCGGAGGTCCCTATTTGCTCTCCTCATATTATGTATTGTTTTATGGACTCTGAGATTGAATACTGTTCGTTATTCTCATATCCTTCCTATGCAAACAATGTGTTCAGGTCTGCCTTTCATAATTTGTCCATGGTGTAAAACAATTTCTTGCACATAATTCATAATAGAAAGTAGGTACTACCACAAGATCGGACGTTCTGTCTTTAGTACATTGAGTTGTCATTCTTGATACTTTTAACGTCATCAGAGATGGCAATGAATATTTTGTTCTAAATGTTAAATATCTGTGGATTTCAAAGCTTGTAAATATAATAATATTTTTATTTTGCTAAATTTATATGATTTTTTTTACAATCGTGGAAAGGAAAGAATCTAAAACGATCTCATTTTGATACATTTATTTTATTTACTATCGAAAAAAAATCTTTGAATTTGATATAACTTAACATTTCAAATGCAACACCAAAACATTTTTTATCACAAAAAACACAGTTAATAGTGTTAAATACATATCTTATTGTAAAATAAAACTATGAATACAAAAAATGGTATTATGAAAAAAACAATTCATCAGGACAAAAGAAAATTTACGTACACTGTATAAAAAGTCAAACACATATATTGAGAAAATCTCCGTCATGAATAGTATGGAAATGTGTTCTTATTACATGTAACAAGACGGAAACAACTTTGGCATGTTTTTTACACAATGGTGAGCCTGTCATACACTAAAAATCCTTGATAAAAATAACCAAAAAATAAATATCCATGAACAATAAAGATATCTATTTTGGATTCAAATGTCTACATGTATGATAAATTCATTTAAACGATACTGAATTTTAATCCATTATAAATTATAATTTAAAACATATAAGCGGGTTATAAAATTTGACATTTCTTCTTATTAGAGGCGTGCTTTTCACGTCTTTCCTTTAAATAAAATAATTGAGGGAAATGTTTTTCCAAATATGCATTGAAACAGATATTGCTTTTGTCGATGAAATCTAAAACTGATCTGCCATCATTTGTCATACAATGTACATTCAAACCTTCACTAACCATATACTTAAAAAGTTCTAGATTTCCACTTAATGCTGCATCATGTAATACAGAAATACCAGAATAGTTTTTTGCATGAACTAACTGTGGGTAATAATGTACAGTAAATTTACATAAATCTATATTGCCATTTCGACATGCAATATGTAGGACACTGTCCCCATTATATGTCAGTGCATTAATATTCAAACCTTTCTCTATCAGAAAAGAAATCAATTTTCTGTCTCCAATTACACATGTCCAGTGTAATACTGTGAACCTCTTGTTGTCTCTGACGTCAATTAATTGTGGATAATTAGTGACAAGGAACTCACATGCATCATATTTACCATTAAAACATGCAATATGAAGGACATTTTCCCCATCATTTGTCAGTTCATTTATATCCAAACCTTTCTTTACCAGAAAAGAAATCAATTTTCTGTCTCCATTTACGCATGAAGAGTGTAATGCTGAGTAACCGTCATTGTCTTTTACGTCAATTAATTTTGGATATTTAGTGATAAGGAACTCACATGCATCGTACTTACCACAACGACATGCAATATGAAGGACACTTTCCCTATTAGTTGTCAGTGCATTTATATCCAAACCTTTCTCTACCAGAAAAGAAATCAATTTTCTGTCTCCAGATACACATGAAGAGTGTAATACTGTGCACCCATTATTGTCTCTTACGTCATTTAATTGTGGATAATTAGTGATAAGGAACTCACATGCATCATAATTACCAATACGGCATGCAATATGAAGCGCACTTTCTCCATTATTTGTCAGTGCATTGATATCCAAACCTATCTCTACCAGAAAAGAAATCAATTTTCTGTCCCCATTTACACATGAAAAGTGTAATGCTGAGTAACTGCTATAGTCTTTGACGTCAATTAAGTGTGGATAATGACTGATAAGGAACTCACATGCATCGTAGTTACGGTAAAAACATGCAATATGAAGGACACTTTCCCCATTATTTGTCAGTGCATTAATATCCAAACCTTTCTCTACCAGAAACAAAATCAATTTACTGTCTCCATTTTCACATACTTTGTGCAATACTGTGTACTCGTTATTGTCTTTGACATCAATTAATTGTGGGAAATTAGTGACAAGGAACTCACATGCATCATACTTATTATATAAACATGAAATATGAAGGAGACTTTCCCCATTATTTGTCAATGCATTAATATCAAAACCTTTCTCAATCAGAAAGAAAATCAATTTTCTGTCTCCATTTCTACATGAAGAGTGTAATACTGTGTAACCATTATTGTCTCTTACGTCAATTAATTGTGGATAATTAGTGACAAGGAACTCACATGCATCATAATTACCATAAAAACATGCAATATGAAGGACACTTTTCCCAATCTTTGTCTTTGCATTAATATCAAAACCATTCTCTATCAGAAAAGAAATCAATTTTCTGTTCCCATTTACACACGAAGAGTGTAATACTGTGTAACCGTTATCGTCCCTGACGTCAATTAATTGTGGATAATTAGTGATAAGGAACTCACATGCATCATACTTACCATCATGAGAGGCAATATGAAGGACACTTTCCCCATTATTTGTCAGTGCATTAATATCCAAACCTTTCCCTATCAGAAAAGAAATCAATTTTCTGTCTCCATTTTTACATGCCCAGTGTAATACTGTGTAACCGTTATCGTCTCTGACGTCAATTAATTTTGGATAATTAGTGACAAGGAATTCACATGCATCATACCTACCGTGACAACATGCAATATGAAGGACACTTTCCCCAAAATTTGTCTTTGCGTTTATATCTAAACCTTTCCCTATCAGAAAAGAAATCAATTTTCTGTCTCCATTTTTACATGCTTTGTGCAATACTGTGTATCCTTTTTTGTCTTTGACGTCAATTAATTTTGGGAAATTAGTGACAAAGAACTCACATGCATCATACTTACCATATAAACATGCAATATGAAGGACACTTTCCCCATCATTTGTCCGTGCATTTATATCCAAACCTTTCCCTACCAGAAAAGAAATCAATTTTCTGTCTCCGTTTAAACATGAAAAGTGTAATGCTGAGTAACCGCTATAGTCTTTGACGTCAATTAAGTGTGGATAATGAGTGACAAGAAACTCACATGCATCATAGTTACAGTAAAAACATGCAATGTGAAGGACGCTTTTCCCATTATTTGTCAGTGCATTAATATCCAAACCTTTGCCTACAAGAAAAGAAATCAATTTTCTGTCTCCAGATACACATGAAGAGTGTAATACTGAGTAACCGCTATTGTCTCTTACGTCAATTAATTGTGGATAATTAGTGACAAAGAACTCACATGCATCATAATTACCATAAAAACATGCAATATGAAGGACACTTTTCCCAATCTTTGTCTGTGCATTAATATCAAAACCATTCTCTATCAGAAAAGAAATCAATTTTCTGTTCCCATTTACACATGCCGAGTGTAATACTGTGTAACCGTTATCGTCCCTGACGTCAATTAATTGTGGATATTTAGTGATAAGAAACTCACATGCATCATACTTACCATCATGAGAGGCAATATGAAAGACACTTTCCCCATTATTTGTCAGTGCATTAAAATCCAAACCTTTCCCTATCAGAAAAGAAATCAATTTTCTGTCTCCATTAGCACAAGCTTTGTGCAATACTGTGTAACCGTTATTGTCTTTGAGGTCAATTAATTTCGGGAAATTAGTGACAAGGAACTCACATGCATCATACTTACCATGTAAACATGCAATATGAAGGACACTTTCCCTATTATTTGTCAATGCATTAATATCCAAACCTTTCCCTACCAGAAAAGAAATCAATTTTCTGTCTCCATTTACGCATGAAGAGTGTAATGCTGAGTAACCGTCATTGTCTTTGACGTCAATTAATTGTGGATATTTAGTGATAAGGAACTCACATGCATCATACTTACCATCATGACAGGCAATATGAAGGAGACTCTTCCCATTATTTGTCAGTGCATTAATATCCATACCTTTCTCTATCAGAAAAGAAATCAGTTTTCTGTTCCCATTTTCACATGAAGAGTGTAACACTGTGTAACCGTTATCGTCCCTGACGTCAATTAATTGTGGATAATTAGTGATAAGGAACTCACATGCATCATAATTACCATCATGACAGGCAATATGAAGGACACTTTCCCCATTATTTGTCAGTGCATTAATATCAAAACCTTTCCCTACCAGAAAAGAAATCAATTTTCTGTCTCCATTTTCACATGCTTTGTGCAATACTGTTTCACCGTTATTGTCTTTGACATCAATTAATTGTGGGAAATTAGTGACAAGGAACTCACATGCATCAAACTTACCATATAAACATGCAATATGAAGGACACTTTCCCTATTATTTGTCAGTGCATTAATATCCAAACCTTTCCCTGCCAGAAAAGAAATCAATTTTCTGTCTCCATTTTCACATGCTTTGTGCAATACTGTTTCACCGTTATTGTCTTTGACATCAATTAATTGTGGGAAATTAGTGACAAGGAAATCACATGCATCATACATACCATATAAACATGCAATGTGAAGGCCGCTTTCCCCATTATTTGTCAGTGCATTAATATCCAAACCTTTCCCTACAAGAAAAGAAATCAATTTTCTGTCTCCAGATACACATGAAGAGTGTAATACTGTGCACCCATTATTGTCTCTTACGTCAATTAAGTGTGGATAATGAGTGACAAGGAACTCACATGCATCATAATTACCATAAAAACATGCAATATGAAGGACACTTTTCCCATTATTTGTCAGTGCATTAATATCCAAACCTTTCTCTATCAGAAAGGAAATCAATTTCTTGTCTCCATTTGCACATGCGTAGTGTAATACTGTGAATCTTTTGCTGTTTTTGACGTCAATTAATTGTGGGAAATTAGTGAGAAGGAACTCACATGCATCATACTTACCGCATAAACATGCAATATGAAGGACACTTTCCCCATTATTTGTCAGTGTATTAATATCCAAACCATTCTCTATTAGAAAATAAATTAATTTTCTGTTTTCATTTGCACATGCATTGTGCAATACTGTGAAACCGTTATTATCTTTGATGTCAATTAATTGTGGATAATGAGTGAGAAGGAACTCACATGCATCATACTTACCGCATAAACATGCAATATGAAGGACACTTTCCCCATTATTTGTTAGTGCATCAATATCCAAACCTTTCTCTATCAGAAAAGAAATCAATTTCCTGTCTCCGTTTGCACATGCATAGTGTAAAACTGTGTATCCCTTCTTGTCTTTGACGTCAAGTAATTGAGGATATTTAGTGAGAAGGTACTCACACGCATCATACATACCTTTAAGACATGCAATATGAAGGACACTTTTCCCATCATTTGACAGTGCATTAATATCCAAACCTTTCTCTATTAATAAAGAAATCAATTTTTTGTCTCCATTTACACAGGCAGCGTGTAATACTGTGTAACCTTCATTGTCTTTGACGTTGATGACTTGTGGATAATTAGTGACAAGGAACACACATGCATTATACTTACCATGTTTAGATGCAATATGAAGGATGTTTTCGCCATCAAGGGTCTGTGCAGTAATATTCAAACCTTTTTCTATCAAAAAGGAAATTACTTTTGTGTCTCCACTGATACATGCACAATGTAAAGCTGTGTACCCGTATTTGTTTTTGACGTCAATTAAATGTGGGTAATTACCTACTAGAAATTTGATTATGCTGAATTCCCCTAATAGTGATGCAGAATGTAATACACTTTCGCCATGTGAAGATTTTATATCTATTAATATAGGATATTTTTCAAGTAGAGGCTGCCCTAAATTAATCTGTCCTGATGAAAAAATCTCCTGTATTAAACTATGAGTAGTGCCAGTCCTTACAAGAGATGGACACATATGATTCAAATCTACAGACTTACACAGTTTCAATAATAAATCTAAATTTCCACTTTGTACTGCGTTAAAACAAGTCTTTAAATCAAATTTAGTATTAGCTGATAAAATCATATTGACGATATTCACATGGTTTTCTCTGCTTGCAACATTAAGGGATCTATACTTTTGTGTTTCATCACTATTATTTTGTAACAAATATTTTACCCAACCGATGTGCCCTGATTTTCCGAAATGCACCAGTAATGCGTTTCCATCTGAATCAACACATTCTTCAAAGTGATTCCTACAGACTTGATCTGCTAATATATATTCATAAAATCCTTTGTCATTCCATAAATCTAACAAAGAAATGGATTCATATCCATCGGGCACGCCATTTCGCAAAATTTTAATAATCCTACAAGAAACAATTGAAAACAATCCTGCATCAACCTGTACCTTTGTACATTTTAGATACTGATTTGTTGTCAATCTTTGTAGCAAAACATGATGGCAGTTCAGAATTGTTTTTTTGGGAATAGTGACAATCAAAATATTAAATAAAGTGTCTAGCACTGAGCTATGGGAAAAGGAATACGAATCGTTTGTTTTATCATAAATTATCAAAAAACCTTCAAAAACCTTAACACTTTCATGAAATTCACTGAGACGATGGGGACTTAATTCAAGCATATTTAATGCAATCAGTTTCATTTTCCGATCTTTCTGATCAGAGAACAGCGAGGAATCCACATTTTCACCTTTCAGTAGAATGTATATCAGCACTGCCGTTTTAACAGCTCTTTCTGATATCAGAGTTTTCAAATACTCTTTGAGGAAATCAGAAGGACTACTGAGAAAATTTGAAAGATCATTTCCGAAATCAGGATTCTCACGAGCTAGTCTGCAACACTGTGGAAATCCCAAGGGTAAGTATAAATCGACCTGTCTTAATTTTACGTTTTTTGTAATATTTTCTGGAAGGTTATAATTGTTCAGAAACATGATGAACTCTTCAGATTCTAAAGCATACTCACCGATTGATAAATCAGTCACTGATGTAAAAAGTAAACCGTCACTTTTCTGTTTAGCGGCAATTTCCATATAAATATCGTTTCTGACTGTCAATATAAGGATATTTCCCATTCCACTGTCGTAGGATTTCACAAGAGATTCTATGATGTTTTTCATATTTATGAAATCATTAAATTCGTTTATAGAAAATGATGATTTACCGAACGCATTATCGATGAATATCGCCAAGTTGTCAAATGGTGACACCCGTCCGTAGAGTTTGGACATCTCAAAGACTTGAAAAGGTCGTTTCCCTCTATCCATAAAAATTTTCAACAAACAGTTTGCTAGTGTAGTTTTCCCTGCTCCAGGTACACCTTTAATCACCACGTGTCTGTTTTTCTCTAACAATTTCTTTGCTCTGTCAAATGCCCGGGTTTTAACAAGGACTTTCTCCGTTTCCTTATGATGATCGTTGACCATTACCATTGTTGCTTCTATCATGTATTTAAAAAACCCTAATTATGATATATTTGTTTTAAAATTTCAAGATAAACTTATTCGTGTTTGGCTTACTTTTATACTTGCAGAGTAATTTTTTTAGCTGTTATATAAAAATATTGTTGTGTATAATGTTTGCTGTAATTCTGGATTGTCATTAAGCCAAGAATAAACAATTAGTGACAGATGATACCAGCAAACTTTTGTCAAAAAAAAATTGAAAATAACCACTTTGGTCATGTTAAAATGAGTAAAATGAATACCTTTTACCGCTCAGTTTTTATTTTTATTTCAATTTTCTCAAAAATGAAATTTTAAGTTAAAAATATTTGTATAGAATTATAAGGATACATTGTAGTTTCAGAAGGGCATTCTTTTGAATATTACAAAAGGTTTACAATTTCTTAATATTTTAGAAGTTTATTGTGTACATTATTTACAATGCAATTAAGCCAAAAAAAATATACACCAATCCAGGAATCCAATTTTTGTTTGTATCAGAAGGATTTGAAAATAACGAACAGTATTCAATCTCAACGTCCATTAAACAAATATACAAAATAAGAGCAGAGCAAACACGGACCCCCGAAACATCAGAGGTGGGATCAGGTGCCATGGAGGAGTGAGCATCCCCTGCCGACCGGTCACATCCACCCTGTACTCCTTGTCATAATCAGGAAATAACGGAAAAAATCCGTGGTCAATTCAGTGTATAAATAATGGACTAACAATTGGTATGAAAAACGTCAGTCAGCATTTCATTCAATGATAAATTGTATTTGCTGACAAGATCATTGTATCGACCATAGAATTAACGAAATGATGACTTTAAACGAGACTGTTGATATTCTTGTTTCGTCAACTTGCTTGTCAATAATTTACCTCGTTTAAGAAATTGTTCATACGTAGAGCATGCTCTTGCGTATCGAATCAGTTGAGATATAAATATTCCGTATGCAGGTGATGAAGGTATATTGCTGCAAAAGTAAGGGAAGTTGACGATAGAAAAGTTAAAGTCATCACGTTTATCATATAGCTTGGTTGTTAGATTACCATTAGTGTCTTTTAGCTATCCTTAAAATGAAATTTTATTTATAATATTTTCATAAATACATTTTACAACACTAAAAACGTTTTTAAACGGAATAGACAGACCCTTTCAAATTCAAATGACTATTTCAATCCTAGATAACTTACGTGTTGAAGATATAAACATTAAAAGTAACATTTTTCTGTATCAATAAATTCTTAATCTTGTGAGATTATATGGTTACATCATGTTTACTTTAACTATAGGGTTAGGGTTATCCAAACTCATCCAATATCATCTTTCTATCAGAAAAGGTTACGATTGTTTTTAATTTGGTTCGTTAAATTACATAGTTTATTATGGTTTGATGATAAAAATTGAACAGTGTTTATGATTTCCAAAATTTTTAACACATCCAAACATAAACATACCTATTGATTTTTCAAGTTCTGGATCTGAAAATAATCAAGGCAATATTAAACATATTAATCACAGAGAAAAATATGCAATTAGATGAATGAGATAAAACAATCAACACGTTAATCACTTACCGATGCGCAAATTTAGTTTCTTTTCTATGTCACTCAGCTTCTCTAAAAATATATTTTATAATTATAATACTCTCAAAAAGTATTTCATAAAATTAAAAGGGAAGGTTGTTTTGTAAAATTAAAAGTAGAATTTTTAGCGAAGATGACAAAAAAATAAAATATCGCTAAAAATTAATTTTTAGCTTACTTTTTTAATTTTTACTTGAAATAGCTTTTTTAATATGCATTTTAAAATCGCTAAAATAACATCTCGATAAAAAAATATATAACCATTTTTTCAGGACAAATCGCTATATCTGCGTCCCGCTTAAGTTTCCACTTATATTTATAATCTCAACTCTGCTTAGTTGATGTTAGGAATTTTATCAAATTTATCTTTTTTTCTCAATATCTTTCGATTATATTTGACACATCAACAGTAAATCTATCTATTCGCAATTTTACACAGCAAAATAAAAATAAATCCTTGAAATGCTAATCTTTTATATAGTTAAGTTTGATTTGGCTAATAAAGAAAAGCAAAATTACTTTCTAACTAACTTACTTTGCAGGATAACAATCAAGGTCAATATTTACAGCCTTTAATCCACAATATTTGCATCAAGATTTATTTTCAATATAGGTCAATCGTATTGATTTATGTTTCTATTCTTTACAATTACAATTCTTTCGCTGCATTCTGTCCCATATTTTAGTGTATAAAATGGTGAGTATATAAAATAAATGAAAATTACCAGTTATTCAGCACATTGAGCCTCTATCTGAAATTATATGTACCTGATAATTTAGACATAGATGACTGTAGGACATCAACAACCCCAAGTCGGCTAATGTATCTATGTTCAATTTCAGGGTCCATAGAGCAAGTTTTGGCTTCCTTCACAGATTCCTGGTACATAGTTGACGTCCCTATATGTCGCTCCATTTCAACAACGAAATCCAAGATGTTTTGCCATTCCTGACTAAATTCTGAGTTGGAAAGAGATATATCGGCAGAGTGGCCGTAGTATTTATTCCGCAGAAGTCGAATTCGTTCGATATTCGCGGCAACACTTCTATCGGCTGGATCTGGATTCTCGCCCCAACCCTTAGAATGTGGAGGTATTTTACTTACATTCCGAAGAATGATGTACAAGATAGATATATCCAAGTCTGAGTAGTCTCCCCTATACTGATATGTTGGTTTGGGGAAAATGATGTCAACTTGTGATTGATTTAGATGTTTCCATTTTTTGTTTTTCTTGAGATCATCAGTCCATTGTTTCACTTCTTTAGACAGTTCAGACGGAGGAATTTCCTTTTTAAGAATTTCACGTAACACATCAGTACAGGGTCCCAGTATGAGCCTCGCCAGTCTAGCAGTGTTTGTGGTCTCTTGTGTTGATTTGTACTTGGATAACGACATCGCAATTTTTTTGTTAAAAAAATCTCTTTGGAAAGCTGTGTTGCCAGTCACTTCATACTATGGTTTAGGTTTTTTCCATATAAACTATTGCAAAAAAATATTTAAATGAGTATTAAATGACACAATTTAAATAAAATAGCACAGAAGGGAACTGCTATTAATTATTTGCTCCTTAACTCTTAAACTTCTAATGAACAGGGAAGTCCGAAGTGCTTGATGTTAATAAAATAAGAAAATGTTAAAGAATGTTTGAATATTTCAACAATTTTTTTTTGCAAAAAGTACACACAAAATAGATTTTAATCCATCGGAAGCTTGTTTTTGACTTATTTATATTCGTTATATATTTTCAGTCTTCCATATACAAATGTTCATAAGTAAATTCTCATAGTTAGACTTGCACAAGGAAGTTTTTTTTTTTCTTTTTTTTTTGTTTTTTTTTTTTGCAAATTCTATGGATAATAAAAATAACATTTTTATGAAAATAAAATCTATCAACAATGCGCATGTTTATTGACTTTTTTCAAGCAAATTGTTAGGCTATTTATCATACTAAGATACTAGACTTTTGTGTTTGATTTTTTTCGTTATCTTCATATTCCATTTTAATTCATTATTAAATAGTAGACCATAGACTGAAAAAATATATCAAATTTAAAGTTTTATTACAACTGTATATACTGTTCTTTGAATAAAAGTCTTGCTTAATTTTACAACTTGTCGCCAGCGTGGTTCAGAGTTTAAAGTATATGCTCTAGATCCACGAAAAAAGCGGGAATCCATACCTTGCGGATTCGAATCGCTTCGCAGAATGTAAAGATCAGTCCTTCGGATGAGACCGTATAAACCGAGATCCTGTTTTGTAGCAGGTGCTAGCTAGCAGGAAAAGAATCCTTAATTGTTCTTGATACCAAGAACAGGTCATTTTTTTGCAATCATCGACCGGCAAAAGTGACAGTTAGCTATTGTTGATTAATAATGTATTCGTCATTTTTTTCTTAATGTTGAGTTAACGGCCGTCTGGAGTGTTTTCTTCTCATTTGTAAGTTTTTAAGGACATAAAATATAAAGTATGAAAAGTATTTTAAAAGAAAACATAAAAACAACAAAAGAACCATGTTTAGATAGAAAAACAAATGAAGAAGTTAAAACTGTTTGGATTTTAAATTTCAATTTACAATATCATAATTGTGTTCAATAAAGTTATTGAAAATGTAAAGGCGTAGGTGATGATTGCAGAAATAGAATTTTGAATACTTTGGAAAGCTCATGATTACCTTTTTTTTTTTTTTTAGAAATTCGATATTTTCATAATTTATAACCCAAATAGATGCAAAATATTTACAAATATAAGCATATATTTTTGTATCTTCTTGTCTAAATAAATTCTGCTTTATAGAATACACGAATAAGCCTGCTAAAACGGGACACAATTGGTTCCCATATAGATCTTGTCCTCTATTAATTTTGATGTGTTTGAACATTCGTCTTGCTTTCTTTAAAAAAATAACGCCCAAATTATTAGAGTCTTTATTTGATTAACTTACCCATGAAGCGCCTGTTCCTTTTCTGAAATGCACAGATTTAATCCCTTCAACACTGATAGATGAAAAAGTCAATACAACAATTAACTGGAATTTAGTTATCGTGTCTGCTTGTCTATAACTCTTGTATATATCTCCTGTATAACAAGTCCTTCTCACGTTTCTGAACACCGGACTTTTGTGTGTAAAATGAGTATCTACGCTTTTAAATACTCAAAATATGTTAAAATCAGTCATCCGTTTAGCCGTTCATTTGATAAACTGCAAGAATGCACCAAAAGGCACATATCCATTATGCAAACAGCAACATGTTTATATCATTAAGTGATTACGTAAACTATACACCAAAGTAACAATCATTTTCAAATGCATTCAATTGCATTTTAAGTGAATTAGAAATGCTCGTTTATCATGTTTTAATATCAAGTTCAAAACGGCATGAAGTGAGGGCCATATGCGGCTTAAATTAATATGTACGAGGAGTAATCAAAACGTCCACATACAAGCCACATAATATCAAAACCGCCTGAAGCTGCATCAAGGAAATTTAACAGATATATTTTGTATTCTTTTATTATTTATACAATAAGCCATCAATCATTATATTATATTTTAACTGAGCTGTCTATGTTTTTGTAAGAAAGTATATGTCCAAGAGGCATAAGTTCAAAACATGACGCAGTTTCTACCTTGGTGTAATGGAGGAAACTTTTGTGTTATGAGCATTTGTCATTCAATAGTCATTTTTATAAGCACCTTTTATTTGTTTCGTAAATATTGTAATTTTTACCTCTATCTTTAAGTCCATTGACATATTATCGTAAATCCCTTGGCATATTCATATGAGCATGTTCCTGTCGTATATAAATCCATTGACAATAACATGCATTGAAGTCAGCCATTAATGAAATTGTAAAAGCGTAAAGACCTGATTCTGTCTTCATTTAACCCCACGGAACCTTATCAAGACCTTGATGGACGTTACAGAAATCAATGGCCACATTTTGACCTACAGTGATCATATAATATCTTTGTTAATGATAAAATGATCATTTGTCAAATTATTAACGTAGCAAGCTTTAACTGTCGATACTTTTTTAAGTATTAAGCATAGATTTCCTACACTTCTTAAATGTTAGTTGTTTTATGTTCCTTACAAAGCACCGACAACATAGTTGGCATGAGTCCAAGATCATTTTAATAACCCCCTGTAAATTTGTAATAAAAAGTAATTGTATGCTAAATTCTAATGTTTTAGCTCTTTAAGAATTAAGATAAAAACTGTTGAAATGTCAATGGCATTGTAACGAGTGGGGTACTGGTATACTGTTTTTTTTCCAACAAGTATGAAAGTCATGTGATAATACTACAGCTTTACAAAAACAAATAAAATTGTCCAGTTCTTTCCTTCATAGTAAGCCAGCCTGTTAATGACAATATACATACTTATTAAGATTGTATATGGGAGAGGTTGTTGATTTCAAAAGTTAAGTATAATTTGATTGAAAATTTTCCAGGTTTTCAAGGATAAGATATCTCTTTGTACAATTTGTACAATTTCCAGACCGTTTACACTTTACAACTTAAAAAATTGTTGTGCAAAATAAACTGAATCCTCACGTCATAGAAATTATACGTTACAATTTTCTTTCTAGAAGGGTACAAGTTTCTCTAAAGTTTAGCGTAAATAATATCATGATATAAATTTTTCATAAGAATATAAATTTTTCTTATTTTACAAGATTAAGCAATAGTTGAAATTTGGCAATAAATTGAAGATTTAATGAACTTTTTAAAGTGCGTGAAAATGCGCGATTGCGGGGAAACGGTGAATGCGTGATTTTGCGTCATAAATAGGAAATTGGTATATGCGTTAAAATGCGTGACTGCGGGGAAGGGGGTTAACATTCAGTATATACATTGAAATCGAAACAAGATGTTTTGAATTAATTTTAATGCTTAAGGCAGCCTTAACATTGCTGCATAGAAAAAAAACTGAAAAAAAACATATATTTTGATAAACGTTATAGTTCAGTGTATCCATAAGATTGATAAAATGATAAATTGAAAACGGCTAGAATGTTTTAAACATTTTAATATATCGATAAAAAGGTCAATAAAATGACTTGTCAGCAAATACAATTTATAATTGTGACTGATGTTAACATACTATTTGTTAGTCCATCATTTATATACTGAATTAACGAAGGATATCTCTCCATTCAGCAGAGGATGTTCAATCCCCCTTGGAATCTGATTCTTCCTCTGATGTTTGCTCAGTTCAAATGTTTATTGACTTTGAAATTGACAAGTGTTCGTTATCTCCATATTCTTTGTCCATGAATCTGAAAATAGAAAAAAAAAACTCTTCAAAAAGAAACAGTATTTATAAAATTCTTTTTCTTTTCGTTATATTCTTTCGTTATATTCTAACTAAAATTTTGCTGGCTTTTCTTTTTTGTCCTTTAAAAAGTAATTTTTTTACTCATAATTACTTCAAAGACTAAATTTAATGTTATTTTGAATTATCATACATATTCAGTGACTTCGCCAAAAAAATAAAATGAAAATTTATTCCAGGATGAATTTGAATGCTAAACGAATATAATAAATCAAGGCGCCGTAGATGGTCTGGGTGTAACGATGACCTGTTTATACAGATTGTATTTCGTTGGAAAACCCATAAACTACGACTTATCTGATGAACGTAGCTTTTTATGACATTGTGTAACCAAGCTATTTAACGTGAATGTAAAAAACGCTTCATTTTTTATTTGTCATTTAGGTCGAGGGAAATTATCATTCCTTAAATCTAAAACAGAAGAAACCTTAACCATGTAATGAATTCTTTTGAAATTTGTGCAGGTACTAGAGAAATACCTAGAATAAACAATGCAACATAAATTTATTTTTTTTAAACCAAAAAGGAAACAAAATTAGAAGATTTTTTAAAAAAAACTCCCATGCTCTCTCTCTCTCTCTCTCTCTCTCTCTCTCTCTCAATGAAAACAAATTGAAAACCAGGTAATATTGACAATACAATACAAAATTACCATGAAACAAAAATCTAAAAAAAAAAATCCCATATTCCTTCCGTCACTAACAAAAGTTTGTCTATTATATTTTGTATAAAAACAGTAACTTAAATCAGTACATCACTGTGCCTCAATGCTATGAACACTGTGTGCCTCTGATTCCAGCCCTGAGCTCCCACTTTTTCCCACTTCTTGTTAAGTCATTATTTACACAAATTTTGAAAGGTTTAACAAACATTGTTAGTTCATTATTGATACACTGAATTTTTCGTATTTTTCTGATCATGACAACAAGCACACGGCGGGTGTGACCGGTAAATAGGGGATGCTCACTCTTTCATGTCACCTGATCCCACCTCTGATGTTTCGGAGGTCCGTGTTTGCTCTGCTCCTCCTTTTTTAATGTTTAATGGATTATTTT